CTTGCGACGTAACGGGCTTGCGACGAAACGAGCTTGCGACGTTTTCGTCCGCGACGAAGGAAGAATTCATCGCCCGGGTAATGAATTCAACCGATGAGAGATGAGAACGCACATTCCCGCAGGTCGGACGATGATCAGCTGCATGGTGACCTCTGACCCCTGAGGCCTTCTCTCGGACTCCGCGCAATTCAAGGTCCAAAAACGTTGAACCCCGAAGGAGAAAGCGTTGAACCCTTTGGTGCTGTTTGGGAGCGTTCGATTGACGTCCTTGATGAACGCTCCGGGAACGCATGATCAGAACTGCTTTCGATCGCTATAAATTTCGGACATTTAAGCAGTTATTAGAACGTTCCCAACTGCGTTCGTGGAACGTCGGGAATACCTTAAATGAAAATTTCATTAAACGTTCATTAAGCGTTCATTAAACGTTCATTAAATTTAATTATAATAGTGACCTGCTCATTGCGGTTAGGAAAACTTTGCAGTTCGAAATGGCCTAGACGCTATTAGAGGCGATGAAAAGGCCGATGTGCCTTTCCATCCGGAATTCAAACGACTTTCTCGGATCGGGCTGGGAAAGTCCGAAAGTCGTTGAGGTTCATTTTGGGGGTGTGTTGGGTGGCGGAAGGAGGATTGATGAGGGATTTTTGCTTGGATGCGGAGTATTTTTTGTAGCTGGGTTGTGCAGCGTTTTTGCCTCTGCGAAAAGGGTATGGAAGTGGTCCGATGGCCTTGTGGGATGTTTTTATGATGAGATCTAAGAATTCTCATGTGTCCGTTTCGATCGCCCGCGTGGAATGATCCCGGAATCGGCCCCGAGTCGCGAGTCATCCGAGCTCTAAAAAAAAAAAAAAAAAAAAAAAAAAAAAACCCCCTATTTCATCATTAGTTTCATCATGTGTTTCATCATTAGTTTCATCATGTGTTTCATTAGTTTCATCATGTGTTTCATCATTAGTTTCATCATGTGTTTCATCATTAGTTTCATCATGTGTTTCATCATTAGTTTGATGTGTTTCATCATTAGATTCATTAGTTTCATCATTAGTTTGATGTGTTGCATCATTAGTTTCATCGTGTGTTTCATCATGATTTGGGAGAGGATTTTGTGGGTCTTGCTGGGAGTTTTTTCTTCAGTGCCGGGCATGAAACTGTCATCGGAGACGGAGAGGGAGACCATGCGTGACATCACGCGTGACATCATGCTTATATTCATCCATCCCTCGGAGGAGTTCCACATTTCAATCGCGTGGATATCATCAAAACGTTTAGGGAAACGTCGCGGCGAATCCTTCGGGGGACGGAACCAACTGCGCACCGAAAGCATCGATCAACCGAGTCTGACGAGGAGCTGGCACGAGTAGGATCCGTGTGTCTCGCATGCTCCGCTCTCTGCGCATGCTCCGCTTCTGCTTTTGCGTCTCGCTTCTGCCTTTTCCGCGTTAGTTTTCAACGTGGCTCGTGGCGTAGGGGAAAGCCGTTTTTCGGGGCGTGCCGGTTTCGGCACGGGCCATCGATCCCGGTGTTGTCGACGGTCTGTAGTGCGCAGTTATGTGTCGAGTCGTCTGCCGGTGTTTTCATGTCGTTTCTGGTGTCGATCCGAGGGAAGCTCGTTCGTCCACGGCCCGAGGTAAATAGAGTCGTCTCGGAGCGAGGACATCATCGCGTCCAGACGAGACGCGAGTCTCGATTCGACTGGATACGGACCGATTTAAAATTAAAAAGCTGGAGTCGAGAATCCTAAGCAGAAAACAGGGCAATCGATCGTGAAATCGCGTCCTTGACACTCCTGAATTAATTACAGCCTGAATTAATTCCCGGGCTGAATTAATTACAGCCTGAATTGAAAAATCTCTATTGGGCCCTTTTCTTGGTCTTACACTAGTTGCTAAGTCCTGATCACGTCCCCCATATCTCATCCCAATCCATCTCCTCTCTCTCTTTCCCCCTCCCTCACCCACTTCCTCACGTTCTCACGCTCCCTTCCCTCTCCCTCCACTCATCCCCCCCGTACTCCCATGCGACCTCGTCCTTCACAATACGCTCTCCAAGTGGATCCTGCGCAGCCGCGCGCTGATCGGCCGTGGACGGCGAGCCGTTGAGCTTGGGGAACAATGCCAAGTGCTCCCGTAATGGACGGTGGACCGCGGAGGGCTGCCTCGCTTCTCCCTCCTTTATCTCGAGAACGTTTCCGTTTACGAAAAATTCTGCCTGAACAAGACTTGTAGTCCAGAGTTTGCCCTAGCCACAGGTAGAATTTTTTTTTACTTTTTGACCATATTTAACTTATTGACCGCCACCATTTTCTTGTTTATGCTAATAAATAAGAAAATGGTGTCAAATTTTTTTATGTTCGCAAGAGGTTGCTAAGTGTCTCTGATATTACTCGCACGCCTATAACATATTTATTTCCACGTTGGAGTGTGTTTGATGAACCATACTCTGTAGTACGAGATATCTCGTACAAAGCGTCTGGCATGGAATATTAGTACGAGAGATCTCGTACTTGACAATGTGTAAAGTGAGACAAAGGCACAGAAAGGATAATGCCTCTTATCATGCATCTCCCATTCCATCAGACGCCGTCCTTCCCCCCCCCCCCCCCTTACATCTCGACAATGGCACGCTTGGCGAAAAGTCACTTTCCAAGATTTGTAGTCTCGATTCCACCCTAACCGGCAGTATAAATGTTAAAGCCGTGCGCCTTCATTTCAGCGTAATACTTCCCCAAATTAGGATCATCCTCGATCTCACCTCTCCCGAGAGGTCAGGCAACGTTCCGTCTCTCTCAAGCATCTCCAAAATGATTCGTCTCATCGAAAATCCTTTTCAAACGAGATTTGGAGCTCGGAGTCCATTCTGGTCTGCGGTATACGTTTCTATGCCATTTTTTCCCCCTATGTTATATGTATATTATGTATCTGTTAGAAAATGAACGGTGAACATGCACCCGCACTCTATCGACACAGATCAGGTGTTGATTCCATTCAACGATCGAATTCATTTGCTGTAGGGCTTATCCTTTTTTTTAAATTAATTCGGAACGCCCATCTTACCTCAGGACCTCGTCCATCCAAACGTGCATGCTGCTCTTTGTAGAGGAGTTCAGTGAGTTCCAGGATATTTCTCCCTTGCCTCTTCACCTACCCGGGCGATAAGACCCGTGGCTAGGCTCAGCTTGGAGACACGGCGCGAAAGGAAAAAAAAATATTCCAAGGAGAGAGATGATATGATGAGGAAATTTGAAGTGTTTAGTCCGGCTTGGTATGGTTGCCTTTATTTTCCCGGAAGCTTACAAATTCAAGCCGGGAAACTGAAGGACATCGTGTACCGTTATTATTCTGAATTTATACTTTGGTCACTACTCTTATTAGGTTCAAATTTCCTGCTCCGGAATATTGTCCCTATGTCGATATCATGCAAAGGAAGACGGTGCCGAGTTGTTGGAGGCACTGAATCTCCTAGTATAGGAATCATATTTCCTCTCGTGGATATGAACGTGCTGCTCCGAAAGGTTTATCAGAATGGACTCTGAGCTCCAAATCTCGTCTGAAAAGGATTTTCGATGAGACGAGTCATTTTGGAGATGCTTGAGAGAGACAGAACGTTGCCTGACCTCCCAAGAGAGGTGAGATCGAGGATGGTCATAATTTGGGGAAGTATTACGATGAAATGAAGGCGCATGGCTCAACATTTATAGCGTCGGTTAGGGTGGAATCGAGACTACAAATCTTGCTGGAGAGTGATTTTTCGTCAAGCGTGTCATTATCGAGATGTAGGGGGGAGAAGGACGGCGTCTGATGGAATGGGAGATGCATGATAAGAGGCATCATCCTTTCCGTGCCTTTACCTCACTTAAATAAGGTCAGAAAGCCAATAAAAAAGTATACCAGTGGCTAGGGTAGACTCTGGATTACAAATCTTGTTCGGGCAGAAGTTTTTCGTAATCCGGAACGTTCTCGAGATAAAGGAGGGAGAAGCGAGGCAGCCCTCCGCGGTCCATCGTCCACTACGGGAGCACTTGGCATTGTTCCCCGAGCTCAACGGCTCCCCGTCCACGGCCGATCAGGACGCGCCAGCGTCGTTTGCTCCTGTGCGGAACTCGGACTCCGTTTCAGCTGCATGCTTTCCCAATTCAGTCATTTTCAGATTTTTCTCCGACAGATCCAGTTCACAACTGAACAACAGATGGATTTGCATATGTTCATGCTGCAGAAAGTGCATTTACTGATTATTTAAAAAATTTAAAGCAAAAAACTCCAAAAATGATTCAAGTTGTGGACTCGGGCCCTGGGTGGCTAAACGCTCGAGACTGAGAAAATGTTAAGAGACGCGTTGTTGCTATAGTTGGAATGGGATTGGAAGGAAAGGGAAAGCAAGTTTTCATTTTTTTTGTGTTTCCATGAACTATTTATGGAGCCGACTGCTCTCTCTTAGGGCGGGGACTGCTCTGTTCATCAGATGCCTGTCATGGGACCCACTTGTATTAAGCTGGGAAATGTTCGTCCTTTTCGCGTTAAGTCCCCGAAAAGTGGACTGAGGAAATTTTGAGACAACTTTAAAAATTGGATTGGATTGTTTGAATGGCGATCGAAATATTTGCTTTTTTCCTCATGGTTTGCTTAATGCATTTTGTGGTGGGTTAATTTTTTGCAAGCTTTTTGTAATGAATTGGATCACTGGAGATGGTGCCTGGGTGTTGGTTTCAGGTTTCGACGAAAGCAAGCGTTATTGGACCTACATTTTTTATGGTCGAAATCCTCTGAATCTGCCGAAAATACAATCGAGTCTTCTTTCAGGACGCGAAGCGCGGCGCAAATCGTAATTCAACCGTTTGTGTCTGCCTTTCCCTCCAGATAATCGCCATATCTGGGACTGAGAATCACAGAGGACGAAAATTCCTCAGTGTCAGCTGATTTTCGGTTTTTTAAAGTAAAGTGCCGCGAAAAAATTTCAACGTTGAGGGCATGAGCGAAACAGGACTCAACGCAGGCTCAACGATGACATTTGCCGCTCCGACACCTGTCGACGAAATCGTTCCACGTGGGAAGGAATATACGAAAGAGAAGCCGATGGAATCCCAAGGCTCGCCGATATATCGACCGAACGAAGAAATGAAGCTTCAGCCTCTACCATTGATGAAGGGTAGGCCTTGGGTAGTTGATTTAATGTGAAGTCTTTTCTTTGCACAGATCCAGAAGAAATCCGAGTTTCCCCTTGGTGTTCCCAACCAGGCCGCGACGGGTCGACCTGAATTCCATTTTTCATTCGTATTTGCGGTTATGTCGCTCTCAATAGCGGGCACAAGACTTCCGGAACGGGGGAGGGCCTGGTCCCCCCCTCCCCTCTGCTCCTGTCGGTCTGGACCCAAGATGGTGGAGCTGTCTCGCGTGTCTTGCTGGCGAGATGGCGTGCTCTTCGCTTCGTTCCAGGGGTCGATGGCGATAATGTCACGATGGGGCCCTGGATGCGCGTCATCGGCCGCAAATATACCGGAATTGTTTTCGTGCGTTCCGCAATCGAAACCTGTAAGCGATCGAAGCCGGGATTGTCGAAAGGCCTCTTCTGCCTATCCTTTCATTTAGATAGCTTCTGTCGCTTTTCTTTCGATCCCTCCACGCTAGACCGACGCGAAAATTGGCGGTTTTGGCGGTCATTCCTCAAAACTGCACCTTCTTCCATTATTCCCTTCCCTTCGTAGACCAGAATGTCCCGAGGGTTTTTTGCCTTCGTCATTGGCAGGATACTGATTCCCCCAAAACGATACCCCATTCTCTGTAGACGTTCTTGCAACAGAACATGAAGGTCTCTTGATCCTCAAGCTCCGCCAGTGCTCCGTCGTCTTCGACGGCGATAGCAGCGGGACTCACGGGAAAGGCGAGGATGCGAAGGAGGCGACTCTCTTCGAGCTCGTGCGATACGTCACGAAAGGGGGGGAGATCGCAGAGCCTGCGTATCCAGAAATCGCCAAGATGGTAAGTTCCCTTTAAAAATAAAAAAATTAAAGCCCTAAAGGATCCTCAGAGAATTTCGAAACTTAGAAATATTTTTAATTATTGTATGATTTTTTTTTCGTGCGGATAAGACCTTTGTCAATGTTGTAAAAGAAAATACGGCCTGAAATATGTAATTCGAAATATGATTCGATTTCCTCAGGAAAACCTCAATTCTGTGGCTTCCCTTGAAAGGGTTTCTTCTCTTTGAAGAGTAATCTTCATTATCGAATGAGTTAAAGTGCTGGTAAAAAAAAAAAAAAGAGAAAAAAAAAGCACAGTTGGCATGGAGATTAATCGCGCCATATATTTCTTTCAAATGGTCGCAGGCCCCGAAAGGAGCCTTGGGGAGGGAAATATTAGTGGGTGTGTCGGAAAAAGGTGATTAATTTTTGGGGGGGATTTTGCGAAGCATGAAGGAAACCTTAAACGGTAAGCACGGTCGGACAGAGGTGAAGGAACTATTTTTAATTGCATAGCTAATTAAGCGCAATATTAATTCATTAATTAGTTTATAGGGAAATGTATGTGTCTGAATTATTTTCCATTTTTTCACGGGGAAACAGTTATTGCTTACCACAATAATCGTTGGTATATTATTGCTTACTTAGGTGCAATTAATCACGCCGTCAAAGAAACTTTCTCTCGCTCTCTCCAAACCCATGCAGATTCAAGGGGCTTCTTCGTCACGCGCATTAATCACTCCTGCTACGACCCGGGGAGCTCGAGTTTTTACGATTCTCGGACTGGTAGGAAATGCAAGGGAAGCGATGACTGCGTGTGTCGTGAAGGTTTCCGCTGTTGGCATCGAAATGTTGGTTTCGAAATGAAGCCAATGGGAGTTAGTTCTGTTTAGGGCAACCTTTTTGCACCACCCTGTAGACTGATCTTTTTTGCTCTTTTTTTTTGCCAGTTACTCCTTTTTCCTGGTTTAAACCTAAAGAATACTCATATATATCAATAGGCTAATTTTGAAGATGGGACGAAATCTCTCTGCCCCCAATGGGTGCACATCCTTTTTTTTTTTACTATTGTAACTAAATTACAATAGTAAAAAAAAAAGACCCCTCACAAATCTCGAGTCCTCAGGCAACCTGACCCCAATGGTCCACGCATTCCCCGTGGCCTTATCTCATTCCTCTACTCGCTAAGACAAGAATTGCCACGTGCAGCCCTGTGTCAAATTGTCTCTTGATTCCAGGCCATTTTTTTTTTCCCTGCCGGGATTGCGTATCCCACCGCTCCGGTTTCCGTCGGACTGACATATTACAGACAAAAGGATTGGTTTTTCTCATCCTTGAGTAGTAAAAACGTTCTTTTTTGTCTGAATTCCTTACAGCGAAAAGAAAGAAGTTGCAATGGAAGCCACGGAAATAAGCTTACCTCTGCACGGCTGACATATTTCAGGCCGTATTATTTTTGTATTTCCACTCATGCTGATCTTGATGATCTTGCTGATGATGATCTTGATGCTGATGATCTTGATGATGATGTGTTCTTCAGTCGTGAATGCAATGCCTCCTTCCCAGATATCGTGCAACCTCCTCAGGAGCCTTCCACCTCCCGAGAACCCCATCTTCGATCCAGAAGAGGATGACCCTGCTCTGGAAGCGTCGTGGCCGCATATGCAGGTACTGGAGGTTTTTGTCCAGGAGGTTCCCCTGTGTTTTCGCTGGCCTGAAATGACCCTGATCGGCTGATGGGCTCCTGCGAGCATTTTTGGCTGGACATGATGATCTGTGTTCCCTTTTTTTCCTCGTAGGCCGTGTACGAATTCTTCCTCAGGTTCTTGGATTCCCCTAACTTTCAAGCAAATCTTGCCAAAAGGGACATTAATCAGAAGTTCGTTCAAGAGGCAAGACAAAATCGAGAAATCCTTTTTCAGTTCGCATCAATACCTCATTTCTGCTGAATGAAAATAAAATTGCCTTTCCTTGCAGCTTCTGGACAGGTTCGACAGCGAAGACCCAAGAGAACGCTTTTATCTGAAGTCTGTCCTCTACAGTATCTATAGGAGGTTCGTGGGCCTCAGATCCTTCATTCGGAAGCACATCACCCACGTCATTCTCAGGTGATGCCACGTGATATTGCACGCAACCGACGGTTTTAGCATACCCGTTCAAAATGATTTCCATGGGAATCCTATAAGTTTCCCCTACATTATTATAGGATCTTTGAATTATAGGATTCTAAAGGTTTCCTAGAGGATTCTTGAAGGAATCTCATAAGAACCTCATAGGTTTTTCACATTTAAAAACCTATTGGATTCCTGAACATTCCATAAAAAATCCTATGGGATTTTTGGGGTTTTATAAGTGTCTACAATCTATGTTTTCATCCGTCTGGTTATGTTTCAGACACATCTACGAGACTGAGAGGTTCAACGGCATGGCCGAACTACTAGAGATTATCGCCTGGTGAGTGAGTCAAAATCGAACGCAATTTCTCTCATGAAAGTTGCCAGGAAAATTTCCTCGTTTTTCCTCCGTCCGCATAGCATCATCAATGGCTTCGCCTCGCCGCTGACAGAAGACCAGAAGCAGTTGCTGCTAAAGGTGCTGATTCCTCTCCACAAAGTGAGGTACTTATCCACGTGCCATCCCCAGTTGCAACATTGCGTATTTCAGTTCCTGGAGAAGGACGACTCGCTCACCGAAATGGTTCTCGATCCTCATTTTCGTATGATCTCCGAGACGCCGATGAGATGATGGAACGAGCTCTCCTTTGAATTCTCTCAGGTCGTCGTCGGCCTCTTGCGGTATTGGCCCAAGACGTCGTCCCGGAAGGAAATCCTGTTCCTGAATGAAGTGCAAGAGATCTTGGTCGGGATAAGTCCGCACGAGTTCCAGAAGATCCAGAATCCACTCTTTCGGCAGATTGCGAGATGCGTGTCCAGTGCACACTTCCAGGTCCGCACATTTTCCGAGCGACCAAATGCGACGGAATGCGATGCATATCTAACGTTTCTATTCTATCCGTCGCAGGTCGCCGAGAGCGCCATCTGCTTGTGGCACCGTGACCGCATCACGAACTTGATCAAAGGCAGTTATCACGTGATCATACCCATCGTGTTCCCCGCTCTCTACGGGATCTCGAAGGAGCACCTGAGCCCACCGATAGTGGATCTGGTGGAGGACGTGCTCCAGACCTTCATGGAAAGGCAGCCTCTCCTCTGCGACGAACTCGCGACGTCTTTCAGAGCAGAAAGGCAATAGCGAGTGCCCATATTTTTTTACGATGCCATTATTACCTCACTTGAATTTGGGAGAGAACCCACTACAACTTAACTGCATATGCTCCCACCCAACTGAAAAAAAATATGGGAAACGGGATTCCAATCTGCAATCCTCACGGTGCTTTGAAACACCAATGGAATAAATGTTCCTCCTTTTTAGTGTTAGGCATTGTTCTCCTCTTCCCGCTCCTCCTTCCCTTCCCAGTATTTTCGCAAACAAAAGGAATCCAAAACCTCGCTCAGCGTCTCGGCGAGAGGAGTCTGCATCCCGTCAGACGCGAGGGGACTTGGAGAGGCACTCGCAAAGCAGGCGAGCATCAACCAGCCACTCTTGCCGTTCGTGCCTCTCTTCTGCATGAGCAAACTTTTTTCCGACTGACTTCTGCAGAGATATTGTGGGAAACTCCGTCCCTTTAGCACCCGTGCTGTCTATTGAGGCCTTTTCTAGCAGAAGAGAGCGAATGCATTTTAGGGCGCATGATGTCCTGAGTTAAATTCGTAGGATTTTCCGGGAAGAAGTTGCAGCAGCTGTCATTTCTTAAAATTGCTTGAAGGGGGACATGCGGGAAACATCAGATGTGCAAATCCGTGTGCTTCCCGATTCAAAAAAAAGTTTTAAATTTCATCCATATAATTTTACGCTTGGTAAATTATTGTCACTGCAGCTTGGGTATTTCGCAGTAAACAATCACCAATCTCTCACGCGCCTCAAGGAATTTATTCAAGTTGATGGCTATCGAATTTAACAGGGAGCAGCGGCAAGGAAGCATTTGGAAGCGATAGTCCAGAAATTAAATATTTTAAAAGATCCACGATTTAAATAGTTATTTAAATATTTAATATTTAAATAATAGGCAAGGACCCACGAGAGGGAGCGGTCTCTCGACGGTCATCGACCGAAATTGGCCTGCTCAAAGGCTCCCAAGTGGCCAGGGTGGCTCTTCAGACGATGGTCCAAAAATGTGGCTGTTTCGCTTTAAGCCAGTCGAAACCAATGAGAAACCTCATGCAAGAGGAAGCATTCAATTGGCGAATCACATTAGTGTCCTCTCGAGACAGAATATTCCATCAACGATTGAATGTCGCCATGAAACCGAGAATGGGGAGAAAAGAGAAATGCCGCAGCTCCTCCTGCCAGATCCCCACGCCCTGAGACCAAGGCGGTGACAGGAATTTTGACAATTTTTTCTCTTGCGTGAATCGGGGACGATACGGAGCTGGAAAACAGGCAGATGCGAACTGCACGGTTTTTCTTCAAGTTGGATTAGTGACTTGTGGAAAGGGATTTGACACTGAGAATCACGTGACGTAGTTCTCATTCTCATTTTGAAGAATGGCGATTGATCATAATTCTATTCCTGAAAGTTAATTTTGATCCCGTGTCTCGGGTCAGCCTGATCGCCCTTTTCCTTCGATTAAGGACAGCGCATGTCAGTAATCTAATTTTTTTTTTTTACTCCAACCCTGTCCTGGTGACATGGACAAAGAAAAGGGAAAACCTCAGGGAGATTTCCTATGATCCACGAGATTTTCTGCATTAAAAGAATTATTCTCTCTTAGATTAAATAAATAAGTGAATTATATATTGGCTAAAGGCTCCCGGAAGCGTCAACCAAAACAATGAAACATGAACTTAAAAAAAAAAAAACAGTGCAGTCATATTTTTTCTGAAAGGTCAACGATTAGTTTGTTTTTTTCATGCAAGACTGATCGAGCGTGGCTGCGAAGAATCTGAAGATGCATTCTTGCCAGATAATTTTTCTTGATTCGGTGTTTGGTTCGAATCACGAGAACAAGTTTCAATTAAGGAATTGATTTTTCAATTAGCGACATTTCCGCACATGTGTACATTTTGGTCCTCACATTGCGTACGAACGTGCACAATGGCATTGATTTTCTTGGTTTGCTCAAAATATATATGGAGACAATCGGTAAATTGCTAAAGCAATTACCTCCTGTCCGAGAAGAAATATTTCCGATCTCATTAATTTCTTCCCTAGACCTCCTTAGGCATGCCGACAATTGATGTACATTAGGGTATGCAATTGTCGAGTCGATCGTGTTTCGAGGAAATCTCAGTTTCGAGGAAACATTCTTGGATCGGTTAGGATTACATGTCATTCGGATCAACAGCGGCAGTTGAATGCCCGGATCTCCTCTGTTCAAGCTGGGAAAGGAAGAAGATCCACGAGAAAGAAGAACTGGATTCGAAGATGAATGTTCTCTGCTTCTCCACGTGGAATGATCATTGCTCCCATCGAATCGGGATCGTACGACTTGAGAGTCTTCCGAGCTTGAAAAGAAGTTATTCCCCTTACATCAAACCGTCCACTTTCCTGCATTTTCCATTTTCCTTTCCTACCTCAGACGATCCTATCGCACTGAAAAATACGGAATCGTGCACACGCGCAGTTGCGTGGTTCATTGCATATCGCTGGCTTCCCGCCTGTGGATGAGGAAGCGGGCACCTTGCCTGAAGAGCTTGCCTGTCTCTGCTCATATTGAGAAAGAACTCGGACCATCTTCAATCCTCTTACTTTTCGTTCCAGTTAACCTTTTCAATCCGTAAGAGGGGTTCCAGGATCCTGCTTTTTTTTATTCCCATTCTTACCACCTCATGAGCACATGTTATTCAATCATGAATTAGAAAATTTAAGAGGTTTTAATTTTTATTTTTGATCCCAGGATTGAAATGTGCCTGTGACTTGGTATCTAAGATGTGGGAACGGGAAACTTCCGAGAATGGCAAACCTGGGATCCATTTATGCACCATATGTTAAGGTAAACCCTACTCGGTCACTCCGTTTTTCCCTTTGAAAATCAATGCGGTTTTGGCAGAATAAATTCATTCTGACATTTTTGAAGAAAATGCAAAAGGGAATTCGTTGGCTGCACGCATTAAAAAATCATTCATCACCAATATTCTCAACAAAACGGACGAGTGCCCAAAAAAAACTTTTAGGAAAACCTGTTTCAGCCAATTCAGTCAATTCAGTCAATGTGCACGGTCAATTCAGAAAATTTGGGATAGAGGTCAAGTGGCAGAGTAGCGGATGCTGCATTGGCTGAAACTCAATCCTTTCAGACCCTGCGTCCCCATTAATAAACGCAAGATGTCGTGCGTTTCTCTTGTGCCGCCTCGCGTTTCTGGTGACGTTGCGCCCCATATAAGAAAATATTTTTTTTTTTAACTTCAGAAGTTATGGAGCCATGTAGAAATATAATTCATGCCACCAGTGAGGTACCTTTATTTGGTGATTATAAGCACATGCTATGAACAAGCTGCATGCTATAGACATGAACTATATGGTTTGCTCAAAATATATATGGAGACAATCGGTAAATTGCTAAAGCAATTACCTCCTGTCCGAGAAGAAATATTTCCGATCTCATTAATTTCTTCCCTAGACCTCCTTAGGCATGCCGACAATTGACGTACATTAGGGTATGCCATTGTCGAGTCGATCGTGTTTGGAGGAAATCTCAGTTTCGAAGAAACTTTCTTGGATCGGTTAGGATTACATGTCATTTGGATCAACAGCGGCAGTTGAATGCCCGAATCTCCTCTGTTCAAGCTGGGAAAGGAAGAAGATCCATGAGAAAGAAGAACTGGATTCGAAGCTGAATGTTCTCTGCTTCTCCACGTGGAATGAGCATTGCTCCCGTCGAATCGGGATCGTACGACTTGAGAGTCTTCCGAGCTTGAAAAGAAGTTATTCCCGTTACATCAAACCGTCTACTTTCCTGCATGACCTACTTCAGACGATCCTATCGCACTGAAAAATACGGAATCGTGCACACGCGCAGTTGCGTGGTTCTTTGCATATCGCTGGCTTCCCGCCTGTGGATAAGGAAGCGGGCACCTTGCCTGAAGAGCTTGCCTGTCTCTGCTCAGATTGAGAAAGAACTCGGACCATCTTCAATCCTCTTACTTTTCGTTGCAGTTAACCTTTTCAATCTGTAAGAGGGGTTTCAGGATCCTGCTTTTTTTTATTCCCATTCTTACCACCTCATGAGCACATGTTATTCAATCATGAATTAGAAAATTTAAGAGGTTTTAATTTTTATTTTTGATCCCAGGCTTGAAATGTGCCTGTGACTTGGTATCTAAGATGTGGGAACGGGAAACTTCCGAGAATGGCATACCTGGGATCCATTTATGCACCAATTGTTAAGGTAAACCCAACTCGGTCACTCCGTTTTTCCCTTTGAAAATCAATGCGGGTTTGGCAGAATAAATTCATTCTGACATTTTTGAAGAAAAAGCAAAAGGGAATTCGTTGGCTGCACGCATTAAAAAATCATTCATCACCAATATTTTCAACAAAACGGACAAGTGCCCAAAAAAAAATAGGAAAACCTGTTTCAGTCAATTCAGTCAATTCAGTCAATGTGCACAGTCAATTCAGAAAATTTGGGATAGAGGTCAAGTGGCAGAGTAGCGGATGCTGCATTGGCTGAAACTCAATCCTTTCAGACCCTGCGTCCCCATTAATAAACACAAGATGTCGTGCGTTTCTCTTGTGCCGCCTCGTGTTTCTGGTGACGTTGCGCCCCATATAAGAAAATATAAAAAAAAAAATTGAAGTCTTCAATACCTCGGTACATCTTTATATTAAGTACGGTGGTCACTCCATGGAAATAAACCACTAATATTCGTGTACGATACTTGTTCGACGTACGATATCTGTACTTGATATTGCATAAGAGCTCATGTCATTGCATAGAGAGATTCAGGAATGAAACAAAAGCCCTCTTAGCCTACAGAATTTCTATCCTTGATACCAGTATTTATATTTCTTTGCTTAACCTCTGGAGTCATTTCCTGCTCAAAAATACAACGACTTATCTCATAATGACCCTTCTACAAATTTCTCATAAATTTCTTCTTATCCAGTTCTGCAAAGACTGATTTAGTCATCTCCCTCATGATACTCTTCGCTGGGAGAAACTTCAAAATGTGAAGAGCACCCAGGATCAGTAGTGGAAGAGGTGATGGAAGAAGCTGATGAGCAAGTCAAAAGGAATCTTGATTTCTCTCTGTATTCAGAAGAGGTATGACATGATCTTATATTGGAACATCCAAGCTAATTATAAGTACTGAATACTATTTGGGTAATCAATCATATTTCAAGAGAACTTTTTAGATCAATAGCTATTGCAAATATCTCTTGCAGGGAGAAGACAAGATCTCATGCCTTGTTGCAAGGGAATTCGCCACATCCACTTTGAGATGCTCATCCT